AAATTCAAATCATTATAAATTACTGAAAAGAAGATGATATAATGAGTTTTGATTTAATTTATGCGTATTATTTTTCATACAAAGCCAAAAATAACTTTAGGACTTGTCCTTGAATAACTATACGAATATTTATTTCTCTGGTTTGTATTAAGAAACTCTAACAGTTGACATCCTAAGGTTAAGATCATCAAATATGTAGATTAGGGCTATTCAACAAGTCCATGATAAATTGGAACTATTATAGACAAAATATTTAAACTATTTTTTTGGAAAGATTGTTACTGTAAAATGATTTGGAATATCTTGAACTCACTACTGCCTACAATTAGATGTATTAGAATAATATTTTGAGAAATATTATTGGCATCCATCTGTAATTGTGAGATTTATTTTAACTGTGGTTCATAAAGTTGAAAATTAGAGGCAGATTAAGAATTAAGAACAGTAAGTGTTAGAGAGTGCGTAGGGCTCTGAAAAATAACCAAGGTGTCTTAACTTAAAAATTTAAGAAACAATTGAAAAAGTTAAAAAAAAAAATCATCAAATATTCAAACATATCTAAAAACAAATTGTTGACTTAAGAATATTTAGTTTACATACTTTAGCTTTTTACCTGATTTTTCTTTCTTAAACTGGGGGTCTCAGAAGGTCTATCACTAAACTTGTCATATTCATCTTTATGTTTAATTTAACTCATTTTTAATTTCAGTTATTTTAGGATTGTTTACAATTCTGTTATACAACTAAATGGTTTGACAATTTAATTTTACATTTTCTATAAAAGGTTTTCTACAAGCTAATAGCAGAGTGACAAATAAGAGAAACATTGACTTTTAATGAAAATGTAAAACCGGATTAAGAAGATATTGAGTAATTTTAAATGTAAATAATATGAAACTAACCAGAAATGTAAACAAAAAGGGGATGAACAAAAATTGTGAAATGAACAGCCTGATGCAAATGTAAACAGTAATAGGAAATGTAAGGAGTAAAAGGAAATTTTTTAAACATTCATATTAGCTCACGATGCTTTCTTTTCTGTTAGGAACCATGTGTAAGCATATCATCCTTGTTAAATTAATAAATGTGAAAAATCACATCTTTCAATATTGTTCGTTTACCACAGTACTCTAAGGTCAAGGTCCACCTTGAGGCAAAATGTCAAAACTGAAAGATGAACAGAAGACCAGTATCAGTAATGTCATTTTTATGAAGTTTTAGCTTTGTTAGATATTTACATGTTGTAGTAATGAATAATTATAATCAAAAATTTATAATAGGCGGATTCACATTTTTTAATTTAATATGGTGCCGACCTTTTTTTTTTGTACTTGAATGGCTTGGAGCATTATTCTCTTGAAGTATGAAACTTCCTTCATTTGTGGGATATACTGTATAAAATATTCAAAATTCTAAACAACACTAGATAAGTCTATAGGTAAACACTGAAGGGTTTTGTCAGTTGCTAATAACAAATAAGTTTTTAGATTTATTATTAAAAAAATATTTTTACAAACTAATTTCAATCTCTGTAAATTCATGTTCAGAGGATTCTTCTGTAATGACTTTTGACCACATTTTGTTAGTCATTAAATCTGATGGTAGTGACAAATGGTACAATGTGGATTTAAATAATAAGAAAAAAAAAGTACTTAGTTTAATTAATTTTAATTTAGTTTTGAATTACATGAATAAATGTCAAATTTAACAATATAACACTGGTTTTTAGATCAAAATGAAAAAAAAAAAAAAAATGAATTGATGATGACTGATGAATGATGAATGAAGTAGACCTAACCGTTACAAGAGAAATAGATGTATGCATTCATCTGTTTATATTTCAGTTAAAGATATAATAAATTTTAATTTATTAAATGGTACTTGTTTAGATTTTATTTTCGCCTAATATAAATTACAAAAAGAATATCAGAAAGAGATAAAACCCTAATTCATTTTTGGAACAGCTAGTATTATTGAATTACCTTGTTTTATATATAAATTTGAACCTTTTGCAATTTAAATAAATGTTGCTTATTTCTGAATTTATTTCAATAAATTAATTTAGCTCAACACCAACTAAGCCAAAAATAGCTTAAACAAATGTTAAGTAATTTAGTATTAAAGAAAAAGTCTAGTGCACACATCTAACAGCTTTCAATAACTATCTATTTGGAGTAAAAATTATTTTCTGTCAAAATATAGTGATTGCAAAAAGTCTTAATAATGCATTTTTAATAGAGCTAATTTCTAAAGAAGACATTAGTGAATTTGGTCTTAGAGCTACATACAAAGAGAGATTTGAAAGTTCATAGATACCTCTAATCAATAAATAAGTTAGATTTTATCAGAGTTCAATCGAAATAGTAGGAGCCATTTTCAAAAAAAATACTAAAAATCTATGGAATCATGAAATAAAAAGCCACTTATGGTCAGATGATATTAGTGAAAACATTACTGTTACATTCCAGACATATATTTACTGTAAATATATAATTTCAGTTTCCTACGACTTGTCGTTTTAGAACTAGGCTGTTCACACATTTCCACAGACTGTCATGACCATTTATCAGACTACAAAAGTTATTTGTACTCAAACTGTGTGTTTCCGTTGACAATTTGAATCCATTGAAAAAGATTCACAATAGTTTTTGTTACTATAAATTTCATATACATATATAAATGAAAGTAATTTAATTTTTATTTGTTGAAAAGAAACATTATGTTAAATATACTAATTTTTTTGTTAATTAGCTAATTTAATTTTCGTTAATCAGATAATTATCAATTTCTGTTAACTGGACAAAAAATAAATGAACAATATTCATATATGACTATCATGAAAAATTAGTTGTCCCAGGCTCATAGTTAACTTAATTTTCTATTTTGAAACAATCAGAGTGTTAAATGGCTACAGGCCAGCTATAAATCATACTAACCAGGTTATATGATCAGGATTGCCTAGTATATTTTTATGACATTGAGATACATAATTCCATTTGAAAATTGACATACGGTAAATTCTTAAACTCAGCGTTAATTCAAAACCATCGATTCCAGCACCGATGGACAGCGATTTATGTTGAGTTTAAGAACGACCAGCTGAATTAAACTTGAAAAAAATATTTACCTACTGAATTATTGAGTTCCAAAACATAAATGAATATAGATTAAAAAGTAAAATGGATATAAATATGTAAAATAAACTGACAAATAACAACCTGAGGTTATAATGAAGTAGCATTCAGCGGATCCATCGACCTCAAAATACGGAGGAACCTCTTAGTCATCGGTGATTTAATCGATAAATAAAGGAACGAGCTGAATTCAATATACGGATCCACCTATGAACTCGGCCATAACCATAACCTGAGGTGAATGAATCATAAAAATTTCCTTGGGCGTCTCATTGTAATTTCATCAACGATTTTTATATAACAGGATAGGACAAGAATGGTTTATATTGATGGGTAATCATTTGCGAGGAAGTAGTTTGGAAATTTAACTGTACAACCATTACATTTAGTTTTCTTGCGATGCAGCATTATATTTTTAATTTAATTTATAAACTCACGATAACCAGACTGCTCCTTCCATTTACCTTTTATGTTTTGCAGGATAACACCATCTAAAGTGTATTTCATAAGTAGGAACTTTCAAACACATTTGCTGTGTTCTGATATTCAATAGAAGTTTTAGGAGGTCCCAATGGTACTTCATATATCCTTGTAAAGGTTTTTTTTAGTAGCACATACCTTCTGAACAGAATCTTTATATATTAAATATAACTGTATTAAGTGGAGGTTTTTCAATTAAATTTAGAGATAAAATGAGTAATACAAGGCTTATCTTGAGTGTGGCCGAAGAATTTGTTCATCCACATTAAAAACAAAATATATATAGAGATTCTTCTTCATCTTCGAAAGCTATTCAACTCATTGGAGATTGAAGGCTTCCCTCAGTCGGATCCGCCAGTCATCTCAGTTCTGTGGTGTTGCTTTCCAATTTCTTATTCCCGACAGCTTCTGAGTATCTAATACCACGTAATCCACCCAACGCTTGCGTGGTCTTCCAACTCTTTTATGTCCCAGTATTTTTTCTTCTAGGAGCAATTTGGGGACTTCATTACTATTCATGCGTGAAACATGCCCTGCCCACCTTAGACGTCCAGCTTTTATTAAATGGATGATACGAAGGTAGTGGTAGGTAGGGTTGGGGATTTAGGGCATTGTAGAGATTCATAAGCTCAGTAGTTTTATTCGATCTCCAAACCCCGTCGATACACGTCGACCATGCAATCCTCAAAATCTTTTCTTTTTTTTTTAATTTCAATAGAGCTGATTCTAGTACTTTCGTTATCGTACACCACTTCAATGAATTGGTGAGGATGGGCCTGATCAGGGTCTTATAGATACGTATCTTGGTGGTCCAAGAGAGAGATTTGCATTTTAGATGCCTCTGTAACCCATAATAGCTGCAATAATCCGCCGCTGAATCGCTGGTTGCATATTATGCAAGATGCGTAATATTGCATATTATTGCAGAGGTAGTTGAGTCCAAAGTGTCCCTAGGTAAATAAATTCCTCGACATATTCGAAGATGAAGTTTCCACCTTTTACTCTCCCTCCTGGATATCCTCCTCTTTTAGGATTGCTGAGCATATACTTATTTTTAGACTCGTTCACCTGCAATCCAAATTTAACGGCTGCTTTTAGCAGATTTAGGAAGGCGCTCTCCATACTCAGAAAATTGTGTCTTACGACATACAAATCGTCGGCATAATCTAGAATTTGCTGAAAACGATCCTCCTATTATTCGGATTCCCGACACTCTTATGGCAGATTCAGATTATAAATAATTGGTCATGTTCTAATAATAAGCTCTATTAAAATGAGAATATTTATTATAATATTTAGACAAGACTGTTATTGAGATGTTGAAGTCGAGATGGGTGGGTGAGGAGACGTGGGGACAACCGAGGGAGCCCTGCCCCGCTGGCTAGGATTTATTATTACCAAATTATTTTTTAAATGAAACATTACCTCTATTATATAATAATCACATGATATCGAGAAATAATATTATTGTACATTATATAAGGAAAGGTTGATCTGCGATCTGTAAAACAATCATATATTGCTCTATTTATATTTTCAGTGATAATAGGAAGTCATATTAGCTAACAAATAAATCAACCCACATTTACAATATATTTTATTAACAAAAGTGTTCTGACAAAAACTTTCATACAAGTGTTGCAGTCTAAAGAATAAGTTAGAAGGCAGGCGGTATATATTGTAAAGGAATTTTCGCCTGCCGTACACTTACAAATAATTTTAAAATTATGCTATAACGATTTCATAACAATAGGGCAGAAATGGAGATCGATGGAATGTGTTAGAAATAATAAATATAGGAACAAAAAATAATTAATAATTGATTTAAAAAAGTAATTAAACTATTCAAAATAAATCGTCTTCCGCAATCATGCCATTGCCCAAGCTTTAACAGAAATCACAATATCACCTCAAAGGTAAATAGGCTGAAAGCCAGTTCGACTTCTTTATACAAAATATTAGCGTCCTTTATAATTAAATATACAAATAAATATAAAACATCTTTTCAAATTCGCATTTTAGGAAGTTGCTTTATTAAAAAATTAAACGAAAATATCTCCAGTTTCTGTTTTTAATTTTTATTAGAAAAGTCGTTTCTCTTTTTTTGTTCTATCTTCCGTCTTTTTTTTTTCTTTTCTTGGAACCTTATATCCTTGAAGATTTCCAATTATAAAGCTTCTGAGAGAGAATCATTTAAATTGGAGAGATCGGGAGTGGGGGATAATATTGCCTCTTCCGTCTTAGAGCTTTAAAATCTGACATTTAAAAATATTTGTTTATTTAATTTTTAATTAAAAAAATAAAAAATAAAGCCTTTGCAAAAACTTATTCATGAGACGAAAGAGACCATGTATTTTTTATTGAGTGTTCAAGATAAAGATATGACGCTTTTACAAACGTTTTTGGTTTGTATTTCTTAATATACAAAAGGCTAAAAGTGACCAGAAAAGCTCAAACAGCACTTTCTAATAAAACTGCTTGTTTTTGTTTTAAAACAAACTTAATTTTTTTTTTTTATCAAAATGATTTCAATTGTTTCAGATAAAAAAAAAATCGACAAATGTTATGAGATAGTTTTATATCTTATAGCTGTTTTAAGATTATTCAACAATAAATCTGTTTCTGAAAAATCTATTAAAGGAGATAAGTTATAAACGACTCACTGAAAATAAAGAGTCGAGTAATATTTCTGCACAGAGGATTAATTTTATTTTTATAATAATTTGAGAAATACTGGAGATATTTTCGCTTATTACAATCCATTATAATCATACCCACGAATGCAAACAATTGTTTAAATTCATAAATAAATAAATGTTCTGAAAAATAATAATCTTTTACTACTATTGACCTAAAACAATTACATTGTTAGTTACCTTAAATTAACGAAGGATCGCCCTAGTGGCAACAGTCCACAAACTTAGCCACGTTACATATAATAAAACTTAATGACTAGAATTACATTTTTTAAATATATATATACATACTTATTATCATTTATTTTATTGTTTTTTTTTTTTTTCATTTTTGGATTATCTTATGACAATAGCAAAATATAAGAGATTATTTCATATGAATTTTTTTATAATTTTTTTATTTATTTTTTTTTCTCGTTATTTGGACAAAAACACACTTGATGCTCCGGGACAAGCAAGGAGCGGGAGAATTACAACAGGGGGTTGGTAGAATTGTGTCGAACCCTAAAAGTGGGTAACCAGTATTTCATTTGAAAACCCCGGGTTTGCAACTGGGCTTCTGTAAATTCTATTCCGACATCTTAGTTGTTTAAAATGGGGGTTGTCAAGTTTTTTAAATTATTACAAAATAGTTTACAAATATGATAATATTTCAATATTTTTTTCACGAAGGTTTCGTTTATTATTCAAATATATTTGAAGAAATTTACATACAATTTATTCTAACAGCCTTTTGATTAGAAGAACGAAGCCTAAAAAAACACCATTCATTTATAACCATATTATTTCAACATTTTTTTGTTAGAATTGAAATTCCTTCTAAAATAATTATAGAGAAACATTTTGTATTTTAATCTCAAGACTGACTTCAATTAGAAAATAATTCCTGAGAACCCCCACGACGAACAAGATATTTCTATTTAAATATTTTAACAATAGTTTCAGTAGAGAATAATCGACCATTCGAGTACATAAAAATAGTCTATCCGATGTAAATTGGTTAACGGATTGTTTATTAAGTGGTAATGTTTATCTGATGCAAGAGTCAAGATATTTTGCAAACTTAAAAAAGATGTATATGAAAAATATTTATCAAGTATCATTGAAAAGAGCCAATGATTAAAATAATATTTTATATCATTCTATTTATTAATTATTTTAAAACAGAAAAATGCATAAATTTATAAATATCAATAATGTTAAATTTAATGTATTGGGTACATTTTCTCTATTTTAAAACTCCGTGTTATCAGGAACTAAACACATGTATGACTATGTATAACAGTTAATGAAAAAAAATTGTTAAAAACATTGTTTATAATTATTTCTCATTTAAAAAGTTATTATTTGATGCACATGGATTGGATTTCTATTTGATTTAAAACAATTTTAAATATTTTTTTTTATAAAATATTTCGCCGGTTTATTGCAAAAAATCACAAGTACATTTTTTTAGAGCTGAATGTTTAAGATCTTTTCTGAGATTTTCGACCTTATTCATTGATAAAAAAACAGAGTCTGCACACTAAAATGACACAAAACCATTTATATATCAAATTTAATTACGAATAGGACACAATGTTCTGATCTCACAAAGGGGAAATTGAACAAAGTTTTAAGTCATCAAGGTTATGATATGTCACTTAATGACTTTTAGCTCTCAACCGACAAGTTTGACGAGATGATTGAAAATAAGAATGTCTAGTTTATACAGCGATCAAATCTATTTTTCAATTATTTATGAACATTTTTAATGGCAAAATAAATTAAAAGATTATATTTCACAGTATTCTCGGTCTCGTCTATAATTTATAAACAAAACTGTTAAATATAACATTTATTTAAAGAGAAGTAAACAGAATAGAGTAATTAAAAAATAAGTTTGGTTGCGTTAACGTAGGAAGTAAAGTTAATTATAATTGGAAAAGATACCGTTTACAATTTTTTAGCAATGGTCTTGAAAGTAAATCCTGCTGTATCATTTAAAATGAACTTATTCTAACACTGTAAAATATATAAAATATGATAGGGCGTAACCATCTGGAGTAATATATATTATAGGAACATGGACACCAACATCCAGATGGTCCTTCACAATGCATCATACTCGGAGGTCTATTACGCTCTAGATGAGCCTGAGAAGCGATGGACACGCAGCCCGCCGAAGTACTCCCGTTAAGTACACATTTAAGTAGGAGATAAGTATTGAGGAGACAGAAGCTGTGGCCGGGACCCTGCCAGGAAGTAGCGTTCATAGGAGGGCGAGTACTGCAGTAAGTACCAGGAAGGCACTGGACCAACTGAGAGTCCAAGTACTGATGGTACCGCTGTCCAAGTCCTCATCGTACCTCCCCTGCTTCAATTCTGTAACAATATTAAATAAATAAATAATTATTTTAATCAGTGATGGCGATATTATGGAAGGATAGAGTATAATAAATCAATTCATTCCCGGAAAATGGACTGGGATGAACACGAGTGAATGAATTGATCTTGCTTAGGTTAGTTATAACTATTAATTCCATCTGGAAAAATGTATAAGCTCACAAAAAGATTGAATAGACGTCTACCACATATAAAAAAATACATGTCAAGAAGGTCCATTATAGCTAGTGTTGCCCAAACGTGAGACCGAGACGAGTCTTGGTCTTGCAAACTCATTGTTGGTCATGGTCTTGGTCTTGCGCAAGAGTCTCACAACAGTCTTGCAGTTACTTACTAGCTTATTACTGTACAGATATTACTGTAATTTTTTAGATAGGAGAAACCTAACTAAGCCCGAATGTAGAATTAGAGGAGTTAAATGCCAAAGTATATTAATTATACTAATTATTTACATATAGTAACTAAAATTGTCAAGTATTACTAACTATTTTGCCTTAATTTTTATTCAAAAAATCGATTTTTTTAACAGAAGTGGTCTTGCAACAGTGCAGACTTGGTCTTGGTCTTGCAAAGTGCAAGACCAAGACCGATTTCGGGCAACACTAATTATAGCTTAAAAATCATTTTTATTGGGTACATAATTACTTATATTTGAAGAAGGCGATTTGTCATATGGGACTAAAATATATAGTCCGTGGTACATACCCGTTTTTTTTTAATCAAATTATTAATATCCGTCTAAACCTTCGTGAGATAATTGAGTTGTAAGATAATTTAATCATAAAATTGAAAAAAAAGTGACGTACAAAAATATTGGGCCGTTTAGCCATTTATAACCTCGTTGTTTCGTAGAAGCTTCCAGATGGATTGCTATGAATGCCTCTAGGCAAACGACCACGTGGAAGGACAAAAAGCAGATGGATAGATAGAATCAACAAAGATGCAACAAAGTGATCCGTGCAGAAAACTGGAAAGAAATAGCTCAAGACAGACAGAGATGGAACAGGCTTGTAAATGCGGCAAAAGGTCTATGTGGTCTCTAATTCCAAAAAAAAATAATTAAAAAATCGTTGTTTTGATATGTTGGGGATATAGGTCACGCCAAACGACGCAATATTTTTGTAGGCCACCTTTATTCTCGATTTTGTGATCAAATTATCTCACGATCCAATTGGAAATAGACAAAGTTTGCCGATTTCCATATTGAAAACGCCCCAATTATGAGAACTTTCGTAAATAAAAAAGCTGTAGGTTACGATGAGATGAAAATTCACGACGTTTTAGCCAGATGTTAATAATTTTATAAAAAGGGATCTGTACCACGGACTACTACAGTAGTTTTGTAGGCTTGTCAAGGAAAAGCGCATGCCTAAGTGAAAGAAGTAATTGTTGGTAAACATAAAAAGTAAACAAGTATTCTTTATTTTTAATAAATTGTTAACTAAAATAAAGGTAACATGAACAATACTCATTTTGTAAACCAACAATATAATCGTTCGTAATATAATCGTGAAAATGAGCGGTCGAGGGCACTGGAAAGTGGTTATTAGAAGTTGGCGTCTCCCAGATTGTGGTCTCCCGAGCTTTGACTAGATTCAGAAAATCCGAAAGTACCAATAAGAGACCTGGTAATGAATCTCAGCACATTACAGAACCAAAGGGTGAGAGACATATAGGTAGTATTACAAGAAGAAACCCTTTTCATATTGCCGCATAGACCCTAAATGAAGTATTGAATGTTCTGCCAAGGCCCATACCAACACTAATCATTTGTAATAGTTTGTGGGAAGTTAGTCTAACACCTTATAAGGATATAAATCAGAATGATGTTATGTTTACAGACAGGTCCCGTTTCTGCATTAATGGAGATCATAGAAGAGTCAACCGAAAACAGGGTATGGTCTACCGAGAACTACCACATTTTGTGTTTCCTTCAATGCAGTCTAGAGCTGCAATCTACTCCATATCGTAGAAGATAATCTTATTGCAGTTCAAGGAAGTATAGAGCAGTAAAGTCTCCAAATCAGATCCATAATTTCTTGACGGCAATGCACGATCTCATAGGGGAAAAGTTATTCATCAATGTCTTGAAAATCTGGATATTTCACATCTGCCCCTTCCCGTATTGTCTCCACATCTCAATTCTATTGAGTATATGTGGGATTCACTAAATAGAAGGATTTTTGACCAACATTAGCAGCTTCTTAACCTTCAGCAACAGATAGCAATATTATTATATATCTGGTATGAAATTCGTAGTGAAATCAGTGTTAATATTGTAAACAGTATGCTCAATAGATGCAGAGAGGTATTGAGTAACAGAGGATATACCATATATTATTAAATGTTACCAAATTTTCAGAATTCGCAATAATAAAAACAATATCACATTAACTTTTAATTTTATCATTTTTTTTAAAACACATTTTATAAAATTTCTCGAGGTTAAATACAATATTGTTTATACTAATTTTCAATGTATTTTATGATTGAAATAAAACAGACATTAGAGGGAAAATAAATCATACACCGTTTACAATATCACTATTCATTTTTGAGTAGTATATATAGAAATTTTTATGTATAGTTATTTGTTTTTCAAAAAACTTACCTTTCCGACACACCTATTCCATCAATTTATATCTCTTGGGTTATTGTTATGCTCACTTGGATACCGAAATTTCATTTCTAAATCAGTTATTTATCATGATGTTTTGTGCGATACTACCAATATATATAGTAGTTTTTCAATATATCCAGCAAAAGTATCATTATTAATGTGCTATATATTTACTCAAAGAGGGACTTTGATAAGTTATTAGATGGGGGAGTTGAAAGGTGGCTAGAGGCTCTGCTATTGTTACGGCTTGTAAGGAGCTACAGTAGAAATAAGTGCCTCATACATTTTTCATACAGACCTTTTTGCCTCCAATATTAAAGGTGTCGGAGACCAGCAAATAATACCAGGAGACAGGTTACATATGTATAAGACCCGCCTCAAATATATATTTAGGTAATATTAAAGTCTCCCATGTCGGTTCAAGCCTTTCTATTGGCTTATACACAGGATATTAAAACTGAAAATTTGATATTTTATTCAAAGGTGTATTTTTTAACATATAAAAGGAATATTTATTTAATTGAAATATTTATATGTACTAGTAGGCCCGTGCGAAAAATTTGCACAGCATGTTGTTATCAAATGCCAAATTAATAAGAAAATAAAATAATGCAACGTATCAAAAGATAAAGAAATCAATTGTTACTTTATCGATAAATAAAATCGACAAAAATTAATTTAAATCTTCATTAATGTTTGGAACCAACATGTTTACAAATTTCAATAAGCTGTATCTTTGCTAAAAATTGTCCGATTTCGATGATTTTTTTTTCCTTTTGTAGGGAATTTAGTAATCTTTTATATAATCATGGGCATAACCAAGGGAAAAGTGTGTAATTTTTTAGTTATTCGCAAATAAAGTTTGTTTTCTTTCATAACTTGTTTGCCTGAATTTTCGGGTGATTGGACTATTTTGCCCGCCTGAAGGAGAAGGAAGCCTTCGAAATTGGTGGCTCAATCTTGAGATTTGGTGAAAAATTAACGATGATATGGCTTGCCGATCAAAAACACCATCGATAAATAATATAAACTCCTCCTCTCTCGATCATAGAGACCTCAAGTCGACGAAATGAGACATGTATTCAATGACAGTACTACAATTAACGTAAGGTTGTGTGGATGCGAACCCTATGCCTTGCGTTATCTCGAAAAGAGTACGTTTTTGGGCTTAAAAATCCAGGATCCAACAGTTCCGAGGGAACTATCCGGTTCTTGCTTTACGCATCAAAATCTTCAAAGTCCAATTTGTCCCGTATTGATCTACAGACCTACTACCGTTCCAGTATTGAAGCCTAGCAAAATGTTTGTATCGACTTTATTTATTTTAGAAAGAAAAAAAAAGTGGAGAATACCATTCGCTAATCCCCCATGAAATTCTGAATCCAACGGTAACCCATTCATGGTATTTGAGCATGACAGGAGCTTATATTTGGTACAAAACCGATTTCGAGCCTTACTGTAATAATATATGTGGGGATGTGGGAATATGTGGTGATACTTGAAATTCGAATTATCAAATTTTGAACTGATGATACCAGAAATCCAACAACAAATCCAACCAACAAGAAATCCAAGATATATTTAAAGATAAATTTTAAAAGTAAATTACATTAGGGTTGGAGCGAGAAGCTTTGATGTCTAATAACAAATTCTCTTTAATCTATACTTGAAAAGATTTTGAGAAAGAGATTTAAAAGTGTATGAAATCGAAAACGATAACACAAAAATACTAAATATTTATATTAACGAGAAACAATAAAATAAAAATGAAGAAAAAATAAATTTTTGTTTTAATGGCTCATTACTGTATTATTATTTTATTTAACAGTATCCAAGTTGAATTAAGAAAACAATTCTCATTAGAATTGGTGTAAATTAAAGCTATGATACAAATATACTTTTTAAAAATTACAGATGTCCGTCTTTGATATAAGACCACTCATTTGATCATCAATGTGTAATATTTTATTTCACCATTACCTATCGTTTATAATTTGCGTTATAAATTATAATATTTAATTTATGATTATTATAATTTTTATAAAATATTAAATCATTTTACTTTTAATTCGTAGGATCTCCAGTAAAGATAATATGCTATAATATTGCATTTCCGGATAGAACTATTCTTTAAAACATACATCACAAATGAAATGCCCTGAACAATGTAAAGTATACGAAAAATTAAGTCAGTATTTTCATTCGATTACATCTATTCTTACTGGAAATTATTCCCAAAATATTTTGTTATTTATACTTCGATTAATTTTTAGCCAAGAGTCACAAAAAAAAGACGTTTTCATTATCTTCTTTTTATTACCGACGTTTCGGCTTCATAAGCCATTCTCATGTGTTATCT